CCACAACCATCACCTGTCCTTAGTTACAGAGCTTAGCCACAACCATCAGCCGTCCTTGGTTACAGAGCCTAGCCACAATCCTCAGCCGTCCTTGGTTACAGAGCTCTCTATTTGTTCAGAAGCTCGTGCTCACTCCTGGGTCATCCTGATCATCATGGTTTAATGCATCAGTCATTATGGCATAAAACTTGCTGAACAACGTAAGTGCAAGAACGAAACCATGTTTGATGGTGCTGATGGCGAGAAAGTCGAGAGGTGTTACGTACACTATCGTCTAGAGCATACACCGTCGTGAAATTGATGGGTAATGATGATAAATCGAACAGGGAATTGACGTTTGTCCAGGGTCTTCCATACTCTTTCACGACTGATTGTGACGATTGCTGTACATATGAATGTGGTGTACATGCCTTGAAGCTGACAGATAGTAGACATCTTATCAATTGTACTTCAACATGCAAAACATTGACTTTCCAGTTTAGTTACCCAAAATCGACCGCCCATGAACATGTAGCTTCTGTATTAGCGTTGGTCAACCAGGCTTTGTAGCTCCTAGCGTGGGTCCACCAGCTTAAGCAGTTCTTTGATAGCGTATGTTCATAAGGCTATCGTGTTAGCATGTGTCCACCATCCTTGTAACGTCTATGTTAGCGAGGGTTCACCATCCTTGTAACGTCTATGTTAGCGAGGGTTCACCATCCTTGTAACGTCTATGTTAGCGAGGGTTCACCGTCCTTGAAACGTCTTTGTTAGCGAGGGTTCACCGTCCTTGTAAATTTTATTGAAGCGTGTTTCCACTAGCCTTAACTCTTAGTTAATGTTCGACAATCAGCCAAGTTAACTCAGAAGGGAAGACATGTGGGTCCGTGTTCGTGAAAGTTAACTCAGAAGGTAGGACATGTGGGTCGGTATTCGTATAAGTTAACTCAGAAGGTAGGACAGATGGGTCGTATTCGTGAAAGTTAACACAGAAGGTAGGACATGTTGGTCGGTATTCGTGAAGGTTAACTCAGAAGGTCGGACAGATGGGTCGTGTTCGTGAAAGTTAGCTCAGAAGGTAGGACAGATGTGTCGTATTCGTGAAATTTAACTCAGAAGGTATGACATGTGGGTCGGTATTCGTATAAGCTAACTCAGAAGGTAGGACAGATGGGTCGTGTTCGTGAAAGTTACCTCAGAAGGTAGGACATGGGGGTCGGTATTCGTGAAGGTTAACTCAGAAGGTATGACATGTGGGTCGGTAATCGTGAAAGTTAACTCAGAAGGTAGGACATGTGATTCGTATTCGTGAAAGTTAACTCAGAAGGTAGGACATGTGGGTCGTATTGGTGAAAGTTAACTCAGAAGGTAGGACATGTGGGTCGGTATTCGTGAAAGTTGACTCAGAAGGTAGGACAGATGGGTCGTATTCGTGAAAGTTAACTCAGAAGGTAGGACAGATGGGTCGTATTCGTGAAAGTTAACTCAGAAGGTAGGACATGTGGGTTGGTATTCGTGAAAGTTAACTCAGAAGGTAGGACATGTGGGTCCGTGTTCGTGAAAGTTAACTCAGAAGGTAGGACATGTGGGTCGTATTCGTGAAATTTAACTCAGGAGGTAGGACATGTGGGTCGTATTGGTGAAAGTTAACTCAGAAGGTAGGACATGTGGGTCGTATTCGTGAAAGTTAACTCAGAAGGGAAGGCATGTGGGTCCGTGTTCGTGAAAGTTAACTCAGAAGGTAGGCCATGTGGGTCGTATTCGTGAAATTTAACTCAGAAGGTAGGACATGTGGGTCGTATTCGTGAAATTTAACTCAGGAGGTAGGACATGTGCGTCGTATTGGTGAAAGTTAACTCAGAAGGTAGGACATGTGGGTCCGCATTCGTGAAAGTTAACTCAGAAGGTAGGACAGATGGGTCGTATTCGTGAAAGTTAACTCAGAAGGTAGGATATGTGGGTCGTATTCGTGAAAGTTAACTCAGAAGGTAGGATATGTGGGTCGTATTCGTGAAAGTTAACTCAGAAGGGAAGACATGTGGGTCCGTGTTCGTGAAAGTTAACTCAGAAGGTAGGACAGATGGGTCGTATTCGTAAAAGTTAACTCAGAAGGTAGGACATGTGGGTCCGTATTCGTGAAAGTTAACTCATAAGGTAGGACATGTGGGTCCGTATTCGTAAAAGTTAACTCAGAAGGTAGGACATGTGGGTCCGTGTTCGTAAAGTTAACTCAGAAGGTAGGACATGTGGGTCCGTATTCGTGAAAGTTAACTCAGAAGGTAGGACATGTGGGTCGTATTCGCGAAAGCGTTCTCACGCCCTACCATATAATCTGTGTTTGAATCATGTGACACGATATAAAATTCAGAACAAATATTGAAAAATATACTGGGATTTAATTCTCTCCGAAATTCCTCTTGATCATTGACAAAGGATATTTTTTATTTATTAATCACTGAAATAATAAAAGGGATTGAAGGATATAATCTGAGCTAAAGTACGAGAGTGGTTTCATGAACACGGGCTCTGAACCTTGGGAGTCACCACATGACGGTCGTGTGATGCTACCTCGGGGATGCTACTTGTTTATAGTGTGATGTAAGAGCTTTATTTGTTTCTGGGGAAGTCGAGCTATGGCATCTATTAACAGAAGAGAGTATTTGAGGTATCTTTTATGTATGTATATCAAAGATCGGAAAGTCACGTCCTCGAGGTAATGGATGTCTCACGCTTGAGTTTACCAAGTTATATCTTCATCATTGTTTGATTTTTTTTCTCGTGCTCGAGTTCTCCGGTTAGATTCCTCCATTTAAAAAAATATGTGTATTTCTCGCGCCCGAGTTTCCTTAGTATTCTTTCCCTTTTAAGAAAATAAGTTGACCACATATCAATTCCATTACGTTGGAATATTATTAACCTTGAAATAAAAATGTTAGCTACATAATATTACGGCCAAGTAACTACCAATGTATATATGATTATTGTTTAAGCTAATAACAATTAACCTCGAACTAAAATATCACAGTTAACTACATATGAATTACCTTAAACTGAAATTATAAAACACCTCTGATTACGGTCAAGTAACTATATACAACTGTTGTCTATAGTAAGCTAGTAAGCTTTGTACAATAACCGTAGAAGTGAAGTATCACAGTTTACTACGTATAATAAGCCTACCTTAGAGTTAAACCAGTAAAGTGATTACATTTGATAACAATCAAGTAGTTATTGCATGCTAACAACGTACTATATATAGCAAAGTAACTTATTAAAGCTAATGATATATAATAACCGTCAAATTAAAATAGTACCAGTGACGACATAAAATTACGGTCAAATAAAAGTGTTTACAAAATATAATTACCGTCAATTTTGGCACTATTAATCCGATGGAGACAGCTGAGCATGGTGACGGGTTATCGACACTGTCCAGTACACACCTTTATCGCCATCAAAAGTACAGTACAGCCACGAGAACACCTAGTCCGCGGGACCATGACTACAGACACGTAGGATCTAATCGCCACACTGACGCTGATTGCAAGTGTCACATTCGGAAGTCTTCGGCTTCTGCGCAAGGATCATTGACATTGATCAAACTTATTTGCTACCCAGACCTGAAGTAACGGCACGTCCCGCCATGTTGGAGATTGTATGAAATGTGCATTTATGTGCACCTGTTGTTCTGGGTTGATTCCAGTGACTTGAAATCGATCGACTTGGTGATGGACGTCACCAGGACCACGGCACCCACATCACGTGCTCAATTACTACTAACGCCAAGGGGAGGGTCGCACTTCAACATTGTATATTTTGTTACCAATTCAATTAGTTCCACCTGTGTTGAAATGTTCTAGAATTATTTATATTAACTGTTTTCTCGCTTAAATAACAAACAACTTTATTCGTACTGACAAATAAAAGGTTCAAATAATTAACTGCCTGATGTCCCTTGGTGTGAAACTTTACAGACGTTTATATATATAATTAGCCTGAACCGGACAGGTATCAAAGACGGCAAATTCTGAAAGCACCAAATACACTGGTTACGTACACCACATGGAAACTGCGACGCCACAACGTTCCGTAGGAGTCGGATGTTGTTGAAATACTGACAAGATAAGCTTGTAATTGACTGTGTCAAACGCCTTCGGCGTTCATATTATGACGATCAATTGTGGTAGATTTTTCTTGATCGCCCGTGCCTCGGGCATTAAACTCCCCTTGTATTGGAAGGGCATCTTACTCTATATCTATACACAGGCAGCAAATGGCCGAGCCGACATTTATCGACCGAGCTGTCACTCTGATGGCAGAAGCATGCCAACCTACACAAAGTTGTAAAAGGTGGGATACAATCGGACCTAATGCCGGTGTACTTAACACAAGTCAAGGAGTTGTTGGGCAGGTCCTGTGAATCAATAAACGGCTAATTGCCCGAACAATTAAATTTATTTCTCTGGTGTGATAAGTATAGCTACACATACGAGAATTAAAGTGGACTTGAAGATAAATACTGGATAACGGTGAAGCATTCGAGCATTATAAAACTCTTTTATGCTCAGGGATGTAGGATAGGGAAAGTCCACCCTCGGAATGTTCAAATTGGCACAAAACCCTCGGCAGAGAGCGAGGGTTTTGCATCCGAATTTGGTAATCCCAAGGACGCAATTTATTTCTCTATCCTACACCCCTCGACATGAAACATGCAAAGATATTTTTCTCACAGATTTAGCTCAGAACACCAACAACCCCTAAAAAAGCTTCGCAACTTCCGCATCGTTGCATCGAAATGATCCGATTTCGTGACGTCACGCACGTAAAATGGGATGTAGGGTAGTTTCTTGCACCCCTTTTGACCTTGGACCGTTCTGTAGTATACTAATAGAAATAGGAAAAATGGACATGCTGTTCCAATGTAAAAACCAGACGTTTTGATTGTCAACTAGTCACTATGTGTTTGTTGTTATGATATTACTCCGACGTCCGTTGTAATGTAAATATATTGTATCTTACAGATTGACATCGTCATCCTGAAGTCTGACGCCAGTGGTAGTTTCAACATGGGACGAATTTAAGAATAATGTTGGTATATTTTGATGTCTGAGTAACTGTAAAAGCTATAAGCAAAGTATCTGAAGACTGACTAAAACAGAGAGAGAACAATGGAGCTTAGGAGAAAGCTGAGTTTATGGTTGAAAATTTAACGAAGCACATTCGAAACCATCCGTGTAGCAGCAAAATCAATCATGCTTTCGTTTAGCACGCGCGGCGTAACAACCTCCTAAGCAACGTGACGTCACTAATGAAAGAAGGTGGATACTGTTGGGCGCAATTCGTTCGCCCATGTGCTAAAAAGGGACAATTCAGGCAATAAACACCACCACAGTCCGATTAGCTCGACAGCACGCGACTTGCATTGGGTCATCACTCGATATTGGATGTCACGTGGACATTAGTGCGACACGAGCCAGACGACTATACCAAAATGTATTATCAGTTTTAATGAATTAATGATATAATTGTATTTGCAGTTATACCCGGCCCCTGTGGGTTCTGGGGAAGGAAAAGCCCGACGGTATCGGTGTTATACCTGGCCCCTGTGGAGTCTGGGGAAGGATAGGCCCGACAGTCTCGGTGTTATACCTGGCCCCTGTGGGTCTGGGGAAGGATAGGCCCGACGGTCTCCGTGTTATACCCGGCCCCTGTGAGTCTGGGGAAGGATAGGCCCGACGGTCTCCGTGTTATACCCGGCCCCTGTGGTGTCTTGGGAAAGGATAGTCCCGACGGTCTCCGTATTATACCCGACCCCTTTGGGGTCTGGGGAAAGGATAGTCCCGACGGTCTCCGTGTTATACCTGGCCCCTTTTCTGGGATCATAAACATGGCAGGGTAAACAATAAAAATACCCATTACAGTTATAATGATATAATTATATACCGTGTATCCATGGCATGGTAAACTATAAAAATACCCATTACAGTTATAATGATATAATTATATACCGTGTATCCATGGCATGGTAAACCATAAAAATACCCATTACAGTTATAATGATATAATTATATACCGTGTATCCATGGCATGGTAAACCATAAAAATACCCATTACAGTTATAATGATATAATTATATACCGTGTATCCATGGCATGGTAAACCATAAAAATACCCATTACAGTTATAATGATATAATTATATACCGTGTATCCATGGCATGGTAAACCATAAAAATACCCATTACAGTTATAATGATATAATTATATACCGTGTATCCATGGCACGGTAAACTATAAAAATACCCATTACAGTTATAATGATATAATTATATACCGTGTATCCATGGCATGGTAAACCATAAAAATACCCATTACAGTTATAATGATATAATTATATACCGTGTATCCATGGCATGGTAAACCATAAAAATACCCATTACAGTTATAATGATATAATTATATACCGTGTATCCATGGCATGGTAAACCATAAAAATACCCATTACAGTTATAATGATATAATTATATACCGTGTATCCATGGCACGGTAAACTATAAAAATACCCATTACAGTTATAATGATATAATTATATACCGTTAATACCTATTACAGTTATAATGATATAATTATATACCGTGTATCCATGGCAAGGTAAACCATAGAAATACCCATTTCAGTTATAATGATATACTTATATACCGTTAATACCCATTACAGTTATAATGATATAATTATATACCGTGTATCCATGGCATGGTAAACCATAGAAATACCCATTACAGTTATAAAGATATAATTATATACCGTGTATCAATGGCATGGTAAACCATAAAAATACCCATTACAGTTAAAATGATATAATTATATACCGTGTATCCATAGCATGGTAAACCATAGAAATACCCATTACATTTATAATGATATAATTATATACCGTGTATCAATGGCATGGTAAACCATAAAAATACCCATTACAGTTAAAATGATATAATTATATACCGTGTATCCATGGCATGGTAAACCATAGAAATACCCATTACAATTATAATAATATAATTATATACCGTGTATCCATGGCATGGTAAACCATAAAAATACCCATTACAGTTAAAATGATATAATTATATACCGTGTATCCATGGCATGGTAAACCATAGAAATACCCATTACAGTTTAATAATATAAGTATATACGGTGTATCCATGGCATGGTAAACCATAAAAATACCCATTACAGTTATAATGATATAATTATATACCGTGTATCCATGGCATGGTAAACCATAAAAATCCCCATTACAGTTATAATGATATAATTATATACCGTGTATCAATGGCATGGTAAACCATAAAAATACCCATTACAGTTATAATAATATAATTATATACCGTGTATCAATGACATGGTAAACCATAAAAATACCCATTTCAGTTTTAATAATATAATTATATACCGTGTATCAATGGCATGGTAAACCATAAACATACCCATTACAGTTATAATGATTAAGTACATCACATGATAATTTCTAGGATAGCTATTGGATAACTACCATTGTTCTAATTGGTATAGTTAGCATCTGCCCTTGACGAAGGGAACTATACCCGGAGACGGGCACTATACCTTTTTTTTTGGACCGCTGAGACTGCGGGAAAAGTAGCGTGACGCTAAGAGTTGCTTGCGCCCCTTCTCCTAGGGAGCGCTGTACATATTCTACCTTCACTTCATTGTTGTCGTCTGCCAAAATGGCTTCGAGATTCGGGACCGGGAATGTCGATTGCTTCGCAGAGGGTCAGCAATGCACAAAGACGAAGCAGGCGACACAATTTGTCGTCGCAGTTCTTAAAAACTTCCTTCTTGAAAGGGGAACCGTATGTGATCGGTGTTTTGGCGGATTTCTATGCCAATATTAGCAACAACAAAAAAGGAGAGATCTACTCAAAAAGCTCTCTTATTGCAAATTTAGTAATTGTACCGTTACAATTAACAACAACTCATGAATCAAAACTTCAAATGTTACGTTCAACCAACTGTTGGTAATTATTACATTTGTTATCAATGAAGTTCCTCGTGCTTGTCTTTTTATTGTCAAATGACAGTCATGTGATGTACTAAATCTATTATGGCCCTTTCCCTCGGGAATAGTTCTCTTATAGTCTTTTCTAGGAAGGTATAGTTCTAATAATTGTATTATCCGTACAGTTTTTAAAGATGAAAGTAATCAATACTGTTAAAATGACTGATCTTTACAATATCTAGTTTAACGATTAAAATTATCGCTAAAGTTATAATGGTTGAAGTATCCTTACAGTTTGGATCATTAAAGTTATGGATACTGTGACAATAGTGATGCTGTACACAGTTTCAACGATATATCGACTTCTTCATTCTTTACTTTGTTCCATTTTGAAAATGACAACCAGAAGTTAACCATTATCATACTTTAACAGAATTGATATTTAGTCGATATATTTTTGTTCATGTGTATATGAAAGCCACTTGCTTCATCGCTCATGGAAATAACAAAGTGTCATAGCCCCTCCGTGTAACTTGGGTGCGGTGAGGTACACGTTTACGACTATTTGATTTGTAGGCTTTCTAAAACGTCGCACCCCTAGCCTCCGTCAACAAGCTAACGCGGCGGTGTAAATGCATGGGGTATTCATCAAAAATACACGTTATTGTCACATGTCAGGCAGATTACCTACAGGGGATACAATGGGTACGAACATGTCGCGTCAATTATACCATCGGAGGAATAGCTTAGAACAAACGTGTTACGATGTTGGTAGTTCTACACTCTGGGATCGCAGGCTTGTATTTGAGGTTACTCGGTGAAAATAAGAATCCAACGGGGAAATTTGATTTTGAAATATGTCGAATGCATTCAAAACTATTTTGACAGCAAAACGAATCTTACGAAAAGCTATACGGATTGATCGGAAACCTGCTTTAAGTTAAGGAAATCTACGAGAGTGAAAAGGCGGACTTGAGATTAGATTTATTCTGTAATTCGTTGATGGGTTTCATCACAGCAGCTTTCGTAACAACATCTATGGTATCATTGGTCCTGTTACTGACAACATCAAGGTCGCCTTTAATTTTGTTGACTACAAAAACAGTTGTCAACGCAGCAAACTGCAGCGACAATTGTGTTGGCATTGTGTGTAACAAGGAGTGGTGCACGATACCCAGATCACGTGACTTGCAATGTGAGACGGAAACCGGAAGTCCGCCAGAGCGCCGTCGGTGTGGGATGAAATTGATTACTCTGGTAATGGTTGTGCAGGAGTAATTTGCAATCTTAAAGAAAACACATTGCGTCTCTTATATCTTGATGATGTGAAAACTCAAGATGTCCCTGTGAAATACACGCCAGCTCCGTAAACCTTCGTGGCACCCTGACGTAACCATGACTACCCTCAAAGTGTGGTTCCCTCCTAGCAGGCTCGGGGCTATGTATGTTAGAGGAAGGGATTACACTTTAAAGTCAGAGACTAACGTTCCCCGTAGTGTTGCCAAGAGAATGAAGGCAATGTTTATGTGATTGGTTACATATTAGAATAGGCGGGACCGTCGGCTAACCAATATCTCGTTAACTATCTCGACTTCCAGTTAACACGAGAGTACAACGTCACACATAAGTACACGTTGGTATCGGTCAAGGCCTAAATTCGTTAAATTCCAGCTCCAATTCTGATCCAATCTTACCGCTTATTGCCCTAAAACAACTTCTTGTAAACTACGGACCCTCAGATACCTACTAACTTAAGCTTTGGAATATTCCCTTACGTAGACATGATCTCCGTTTTCTCCAAAATATTGCGCCCTTTCGATGTTTGAAAAAATGTTTTCCAGTCACTGAACAAGTTTTTAGCATATTCATGAGGTTGAAGTTAGGCTCGCGCTGAGCATGCACATACTTCACAAAATCTGTATCAGGTTCACGTGCTATGTTTTGTTATGATAGACATTTAATAAAGTACATGTATAGTTTTCATTGAAAATCAAGTGAAAATGAGATAAACCTGTGAAACGTTCTTTTTTCTTAGAGCTCACGACACAAACGTGAGCGGACTGAAGTTATATCGAGATGTTACCCGCCAACTAGACGTGCGATGTTGACGCGAGCCTGACCTCAACTTCATGAATATGCCAAGTGAAAAATGAATGGAAAAAAACCCGTTGGATTATTGAAATGGCGCGACCATTTTGAAGGAAATACTCAATAGAGAGTGTGTCTGCTTATGGAGAGTATATTTTAAGTGGATATGGAATTCACTGAAAGAAATGTTTTCCATTTCAATACGGAAAAGGCCGATGTACATCGAATGACGATTTTTTCGGGCTTTTTCGATTTTTCTGATGACCAATTCAAATTGACTCTCAATTTATAGTTGCATGTTTAGATATA